ATACGAGAGGTGGTTGGTGGCTGCGTGGATGATGGCGAGCGACGATAGAGACGCTCAGGGAGGGGCGTGCGCCGCGACGGTTCTGGCGAGGGAGAGAGTGAGAGGGGAAAGGAAAGAGGGGTGTTAGGGTTCTGGGGCGCTGACGGGGTCGTCGGCATCTTGAGGACGTCGGGGAGCCGCCGGATGGCCTCCTCGTGGCCATCAGCGCCGTGGACGGGCGCTCTGTGTCCACGGGGATGGGGTGAACAGAGGAAGGGGAACCAAGGGGTTTTGTGGGCCGGCCTGGTGCAGTGGCCAGCTGGGCCTGGCCCAGTTGAGGGGGGGTCCTTTTGCTTCGTTGCCTTTTATTTTTATTTTGATTTTCTCTTTCATTTTTACTTTTTGTTTTGTAATTACTTTTCACGCCAAACAAATTTTTGTAAAATGTGAAACTGATCTCAATAATCATTAGGCAATATATCTCAATGCCACACAAGTTTGAGGAGCATTTGAATTCATTTGCAATTTGTTTAAATGAATTTGTATTAATGGGGTTGTTTTGGTCACTATTGTAATTGTCTTAGGGCAATTAAATATTTTGTTAACTGTTGGATGTTGTTTGTTTAATCAGCTAGTGAATATTTTTAACCTTTTGAACATTTTTAATTCACTGTTTTATGAAACTATAACTTGAATTGTTATTTGAATTTTTATTTGAACTAAGTTTGAAACGAGTGAAGTTTAGCAAATTTTAATCATGATGACCTGGCATCATTAATAGGGGTTTATTGTAGCTTGATTATCCGGACGTCACACCTCTACTAGCTCAACACGTTCATCCAAAATGTCTTCAAGTTGAAATGCATATTCAACAAATAGACCTTTCATGCATTAGTCACCTCAAGGAGATATTTATTGGCTTAAGGTCCAAATGGTAGTCAAACAGAATTAACATACTTGTGCACTGGATCAGACATTACTAGTACACAATGATTTCATCGAATTTCTCCTTTCTCTAGCTTGTGAACTCTTGATGTATTTTCCCTGTTCTCTATGTGTAGACTGAATTTGATTTAAAATATTGTCAGGTTATAGATTTTTTTGACTGGCTCATTTTTTTCAAAAACAAAACAAAGACAATTTATTAGGGTTGCTACCATACACCGTTGTTTGAGCATGTGTTTTCATCATTTTTGTTTATCAATTTTTGACTGGCCTGTGTTGGCCCATGTAAAATGAACACATATCACAAACATAAATATTGCACTCCCTTTTTATATTTCTTTATTTATAGAGGGAGCAGTTGGTATGGCATACAGGAATCCCCTGCCGACGTGGTCTCAAATCCAAAGTCGTTCCCGTGAAAAAGAAAAGGAAATCTGAACTCGGACAGCAACACATTGTCCCTTGGCACAACGCAGATCTCAAACTTGTAGTTTTTCGCAGGCTCCATTTTGCAATGCAAAAGAGTGGTCCACCGTCCGTCCGTCCACACATGACGGCCACGTGAAGGACGGTAAAAAAGAAATTCCCTGACCACCGTGGAGATCCATGGACGGTCCACGGTCACGCAAAGCGGAGGAGTCGGCCCTGACACGTACCACTAGAAAACTCCCCTGTGGACGCTCTCTCCAACGGTTGCGGTTGGTCCTCGGTGCAATGTGTCTATGTACAGTGTATCTTGTCTTGGCTCCTAGGTAGTGCCGGCACTAGGGACTAGGCCATGTGAGGGGCATGGCTCCATACAAAACCCTGTGTCCCGTGCACTATTCTACTCCTCCACCATTCTCCAACCAAACGGCCATCCTAATCAATGTCAGACGGCCTCCCGCTCTCGTCGTAAACGTAGAGATTTGGTGATCCAAACAATTCAAAAAAAAAAGAGTTTTGGTGTGGCTGGTAAACTCGTAACCGTAAACTCCTCTGGTTAAAGGCGACGGTTTCACCGGACAATTATCGACGCGTTTTAAACACGACCCGTCGACAATTCATCATAATCTAATGCTAAAAGCATCGGTGACAGCTCTGGGATTTGACTGCCTCGCTGTAGACGAAGCCGACGTGCTGATGAAATATTCCCCATTGGACGCAACGGGTTTCACGTTGGCCGGATAAATTTGGACGCGCAGTTGCGCCAGCTCGGCCGCACCTCGCCAAGAGACGAGGCAAACAAACGTGGCTACTTGTACAAACCCTGTGCCATGCCATGCGGCTGTGCGACCCCCCCTTCTCCGACGATCCAGCTCCATCGATCGCCCCTTCCATTGCCTTAGCCTGCTTGGCTGTCTATCTCTTCTCTTCCATCGGAACAGGTAAACAAAACAAACAAACATCTCCATCTTCTGTAAAAAAAAAGAGGAGGAGCGCGTGGGTTCAGTCTGACCGAACGGCGGGTTTGACCACAGCCATGTGCGTACCAGCGGGGTGATCACTAGTTGAACATGTCGCTTTTCTTTTTACCGCCCGCTGGTTCAACAATTGCAGCTATATGATCTACAGTGTTACGTATTATTAGTCTTCCAAAGCTCTCTTTTTTTTTGCGAGTAAGACTTGTAGTATTAATCCAAAGCTTTATTCGCACTCAATGCTGGGCGGTCTCTCTCAGCTCTCATCTTAGGCATACATATCTGCTGCACAGCTTAGTTGGCCCTTGTATCTCTCAGCTCTCGTTTAGGTGTATATATCTCGTTTGGTCTCTGTCAGCTTACGGCAGGGATGATACATATACGTACATGATGCATGTTCAGGACCTGTACCGTTCCATGAGAAGGGACGGATCCTACGGAAGAGGTCACGTCTGCTTCCCAGTTTGTTACGGTTGGGCTGCAGGTGCTCCGCCAGACTTGGGCATCAGTATCATCATCTCCCTGAATCCCGATCCACCGTGATCGTGCCGCGGCACCACATGCGCAGTGGAATTCTGTCTCGCTGCATATTATACTGGTACTAATACTAAAACAAACCGGGAAATGTCAGTGGCGGTTAGCGGAGTGCGTGATGGGTGGTGGGTGCCTGCAACTGCAAGCCAACACGTTACACATGGGGAGGCCGGTGCGCCGAGCCAGACGAGATTTGAACAGAAACAAGCAGAGAAACAGACGGGTACCCCCCAGGGACGACCCCAGTGGAGGAGAGAAAAAGGCCTAGCGATATCTCTCCATGTGCTGTGATCTCGGAAGTACTAATATTAATTCAGACCAACTATAACCGTCAGCCCATGAGCGAGAGCAAAAACAAAGTCGAGAAAAAGATTCGGTCTCACGGTCAGAGCTAGGAGTACATGAACAAGATGCGCCCGGCGGCATCGGTTAACGTCGCACGTCTACGTAGCACGGCCGCGAATGCAATGGGAAATGTACTTGAGGCGGGTCTTTTCCGTTGCTGTTGGGAGGGAAACAGTACGAGAAGATTCATGGAGCACAGCACCTCCTAACTAACTCCGCAGTTAGTTAGCGCCATCACGGGTCACGCCATGAGCGTGAGTGAGAGAGAGGGAGAGCGCGCCCGCGCGCGTGACACAGACCTAACGCCAGATTCATTCGTACTAGCAATTACCATGATCGATCTCCGTCGCCCGCTGCGGTCGCCGGTGGCAAGCGAGACCTCACATCAGATTCCGAGACGTACGCCACCACGACAACCAGACCACCTAAGCCTAGGGAGGAGAGGACGGCCGTCGGCCGTGCAGCGCAGCGTTCTACAAGCTGCATCGTGTCGTCGGCGCGCGCACGACCATCCTCCTCGGCCTCGGCCCCAGCGGAACCACCCAACCGAGGACGAACACGCGCACCGTCGCCTCCACACCACCGCTCGTCGGCGAGAGACACCGAGGCAGGCAGGCGTGTTGATGTCTAAACGAGACTGAAATCCGCGTCGACATGGTTCACACTCCAAATCATTTCGTCTTCCTACCTTGCCTGGCTTATAAAATGGAAACGAAGGCCAACGTGCTCGCCGTTTCAATTTTTTGTATGGTAAATGTCACATCAAATCTCTCTATTCGGATCCGAGCTACTGCTAGCCCAGTTTAAGGCCAGATTAGGAGCACGGCGACACGTAGTATACATAGCGCGGGGCAAGCAAAGCTGGAAAGCAAAAACAGTCACTTTGCCCGACACACACACACACACACTCGGCGCGTCCTCTACAAAAACGCACGATAAACAAGTGGGTAACAAAAGCCAGCTCAAAAAGAAAGCGGGGGAAAAACAAAAAAGTAAACCAAGCGAGACCGGCCTAAATTTGGAGTGCCCGAGACGCCACAGACCAAAGGAAATCTGGCCTAAAAAGCATGTTTATTATCCTATGCAAAAGAAACATGTTTATTTGTATTTCAAAAACAAAGCAAAAACCAGCGAACCAAACTATGTTTGGATAGTTAGAGGGTCAGTGGTATCCCAGCCCATTAAGGTTGAAGCTCTGGTGCTCGCACAATTTCTGAATTTATTTCAGAATTTTCGGCGATGCGTTTTCAGTGGAAGGGGATGTTCCCGTCGACTACGAGGGGCATATGGTGACTTTGTAAATCTCAAGATGATATCCGGCTCAGTCTCTCGAAGTTGTTCATAAAATTACGGTATGAATGTGTGAGTTTGTAGGGATAAGTGTGTGTGTATGTATAAATGTTTGCGTCTGTATCGTGTTGAAAAAGAAAGAAACATGTTTATCGTCACGCCAACGCACAGCAAATCGTTCAAGTTATTATTACAGAGAGAAGAAGAGAGGAGGGCCGGCTAAATCAGCAGAGAGAGAGAGAGAAAGAAAGAAAGAAAGAAAGAAATGGAATATTCCAATCCTTTTCCGCTCTCCCCCCTCCCGTTCCCTCCTCCGCCATATAAACTCGTCCTGGAAAGGGAGCCGGCGAGAGAGGAGAGAAAGGAAGGAAAGGGAGCCGAGGAAAGCTCTCCCCCCCTCCCCAAATTTCATCTTCGTTCTTCCGCTCCTCTCCTCGCCTCGCCTCGCCTCGCCCGGACCCCGGCCGGATTCTCGTCAAGGAGGAGGAGGAGGAGGAGGGGGAGGGGATGGGGAGGGAGGACAGGTTCCCGGTCTGGGAGGCCGCGCTCGGCGCCGGGGTCGCCGCCGTCTTCGCCGCGGGCCTCGTCGGGGTCTACCTCTCCATGCCGGACTCCGACTACAGCTTCCTCAAGTTGCCCCGCAACCTCCACGAACTCCAAATCCTCACGTAATCATCATTCATCCTCTTCCTCCATTTCTTGTTTCGGTTGGTGCGTGCGTCCTCGGTTGCGTCCGCGCGAGCCTCCCGTCCTTTTCGGGCAATCGCATGCCGCAAGTTTCCTCATTCGCGTAGTTTTCGTGGTTCCATCGTTGTGTCGCCCGTCTTCCTCTATGTTTGGAGGAGAAGAGGCGATTCGATTTGCGTTAATTTTGGTTGTGCCTAGAGCGCGTCGGTCGGTTTATGCGGATCTGCCGATGAGTATATTTGCAGATTTCTTATGCCATTGCGTTCTGCACGGAGATTTTTGGGGTAGGTTTTCAATGCAGAAACCACATGCTATTCATGGATCCAAGCCTTGTGAATGGAACAGTT